GGTGCGAGCCTGCCTGGGCAAAGGAAGGGTCGGCAGGTGGCACCGGACCCCGGCGCCCTGCAGCCCCGCCCGGAGACTCACCTGTCGGCGGGGACACGGGGTGGGGGATGCGGGGACTGGGGCGGCAAAACTGGGGGCTCTGGTACCACCCTGAAGACATTAAAATGCGGGAATCTTAAACCTGCCAGCCGAGCGCCACTTCCTCAAACACTTCCTGCCCCGACGTCACGAATCACGTCGGCCGCGGCCCGCCCTTAAAGGGGCCCCAGCGGGGCTCTGGCCCAGGATACGCCGGGTGTCGGTGGACACGGCGGCACCAGCCAGCGGGTACCCCTGGGAACCGGTGTTCCGGTGATTCCGGGATGGATAGATGTGGCTTCTAGGCAATTCTAATTGAAATTAGACAGGCTGCGCTCTCGGAGATAAAAGAACAGCCCTAAAACAAGCCCTAACACGCCAGAGTGCTCTTAAGACAAATGATTTCCACCTGAAAAGGTTTCTAGGACAGGGGTGTTGGGAATTTCCACACCCCAGCCCTTCTGAGGTGAACTTGACCTCGCTTCCTAAACTTTTGACTGGGTGGAATTTCCCGCACCACCCCCGCCCCCGTCCCCGCACTAGGATTGATTCAGGGACTGTTTACAAGAATTAGCATTGGCCTCTTGTCCTCATGCTGTACTCCCCTGGTCTGGAGGTTCTTTGGCTCCACATCAAGAATGATAAATCACAGCTGTACTCCTTAGAAGTGACAGTCCCCACTCCCCCCTTAAGAAAACAAAGAAAAGGGGAAAAAATCTGGTACTATAACAGTAAACTGCAGTGTCAGCCCCTTCAACGTAGAGAAATTGAGAGAGGCTCTCAGCCCTGAGGTTTATCATTCATCTCCTACCTACTTGGCATTAGAGTAAGGTCTTTTACAATAGTTTTTCAGGTCTGCGGCACTATATTAGCAGACAAAGGAATGGTATGTGGTTTGGTTTATTTACTCAAGCAGGAAAAAAATATTAAAGGAAACTTGAAATAATAATAGCTCCATTTATGGAGTCCTTACTAAGTGTCAGGCACTATCTGAACTCTGTACTTGGATTTCCTCATTCGGTCCTCAAGACAACCCTACCAGTTGGACAATATTGCATTATTATTATCATCCCCAATATACAGATGAGAAAATTGAAACACAGAAAGGAAAAGTCTTTATCCCAAAGTCACAGGGCTAGTACATGGATGACCTGATATTCAAACCCAAGCAGCTGGTTCTTAGGCCCACACTCTTTAATATTTGGTTAGTAGTAGCATACTGAGAAGTTCAGAAGGAGGCCAACTAAATTTTGAAGCCAGATACAGCTATTGACTACCTCTGAGAATCTAGGGCCAGTTTCTTAACCATTCCAAACCTCCATTTCTCTTCTTTAAAATATAGGCATTATTAGATTGAGTTGCATGAAACTGTCATTTTGTTATAAGTCAAAAAGAGTCAAAACAAGAGCACCAAAGATCAGCAGTTTCATCTGGTTCAGCCTAAAAACAGCAGGAGGTGCCAGCAGGGTCGTTGTGAAGGACAGATGAAGTAATGGTAGAGCCGTGTCTGACACAGAGGACACTCCTGCCTGAACAGAGCCCAGAGGCTGAAGTTAATTAAGTTAATTGGGAACCGTGTCAACCTAAACAGATGGGCAGTAGTGCCCAAGGTCACTCTAGGCACTCAGGGCTATCCAGTATTTCTCGATTTACTCTATGGTCTCTGCTAAATGGCATACTCGGTCTCAAAGCAGGAAGAGAAAGGAACACGAGTAAATAGTTGTAAAACACTTAGAATAGTGCCTGACATATTCTAAGTGTAGTATAAGTGTTTGTTTAATAAATAATTTTTTTAAAATAAAACATTTATTGGGCTCCTATATGTGCTGGGCCCTACGTAGAGTCTATTTTCTATATGATATCATAAAAGTTTTCTTTTTAATCCTATCACCTCTGAAAATCACTCTCCATGAGAAACTTGGCGAGACATGCACTGAAAGGTCAAAGGTTTACTTTGTACTGCTATAATTTAAGAGTTCTCATTTGCTCAGCTCAAAGTTACTTGGTTTTCAACTGAACATAAATCTCTCTGATAAGTCATATATTACTAGATTTTTAAAAAATTAATGATGGCTCAAGAAAGAGCCTCTGGGTTTTATCATGTCCCAAGATGTTTATCACCTTAAGCCCTGTTTTCTCTCCAGATAAGACATGTCTACTGTCTACATCTGGTCTATATCCTGCTCTAGACTTTAAAAAGTCTGTGAGCAGACTTTTTAAAACAATTTTTTTCAGATGGAATGGAAAAATTTTTCTTTTTTTCCTGTTTTGAGGCTGAGTGTATTATTTAGCAGTGACTATAGGGTAATCAAGAAATACTGAGTGGCCAGAGTGCCTTGCACAGCCCTGGGCACCACTGACCCAGGGTATCCTAGCAATGTGACTCTCATCAGAGGCACCAGGAATCTTATTGGAGACATAAGGCTCACAAACAGCCATCAAATAATGAGAGATAAGGATCAGGCAATAAAAAACCAGTGCTAATTAGTTCAGCTGTAAAGGCAGTAGTATTGGTGGTAAGGATAAAGTGTCTAAGCAGTTCATTTTAAAATAAAATATTCTTCCCAGGGTAAGTTAAAGATAACTATCCTCTTACTCAGTCTTTTTGTGTCATCATTTGAGAAAACTCTACTCTCTCATCTAAGAGCAGCCAGTCAAAGCAGCACTGAGCTCCTCTGAGTGAGGAAAGGATTGTTTTATGAACAGTCTGGAAGCTGAGTCATAGTAAGAGAAGCCACCTTAAAAGATAGGAAGGCAATAAAAGAGACCACTCAGGCTAAGGAGGATTTCTCCAGCACCCCAATCCCCAGTCAGCTCTGGTTCAGTGACTTCAGCAACTCTTTTATTCTTCTTCCAAGTTTATTTTAACCCAGCCATGCAGAGAGACGACTTTGCAAGTCAGGACTTGCCCTTCAACAAACAAAAATTCTTCTGCCAGAGAAGTTGGAAAACTCATTTAGTTGGAAGACATGAAGAAATCGCCTTTCTTCTAGGAAAATTGGTAGGAGATAAAAGTGGACTGGTGGGGACTGATGGTGAGATTGAACTTGGGCCTAGACCCTTCAGAGCTCAGTGCGGAGCTGGCTGCAGAAGAGGAAGGGAAGAAAATGCAGCTAACTTCTATCTCTGTGAATGAGACGTGGGCCAATGGTGAAACTTTAGAGAAACAGGGCCAACCAGGCCATCATGCTTCAAACCTTGGGTGAAACACTGAAAGCTGAGGATTTAAGGCCCTGAATCACCCTCCCTGGAGGAATGATACCTTGGAGGAGGAGTGATAGCTTGCACGTTCTCTTCATGTTTATACACACATATGTTTATTTCAGTAAATTCAAATTAAAGCGGAAGAAGTCACCAAAGGGCAGCTGCCTACCCCTTGGTGATGATGGCAAGGAGACCATGTATATGTGTTTTTACCACCTAGAAGGTATGTTCTTTAGCTCACCTTTAGCTCAGTAGTTCTGAGCTGCTACTTTGTTCCCTGGGAGCAGAGATTTTGTTCAGTGCTACATTCCTAGTACCTGGTACCTCATGGGTGTTCAATAAAAACTTCCTGAGTGAGGAAATACAGTCAATAAAATTGTAACAACTATGTATGATGTCAGGGGAGTACTGGACTTATGGGCTGAGCACTTTGTAAGGTATATAAATATCTAATCACAATGTTGCACACCTGAAACTAATATAATATTGTATGTTAACTCTAATTGGAAAATAAATTAAGCAAAAAAAAAAAAAAAGAAAAGAAAAAAATATCCTGAATGAATGAATTGCAAAGACTGGTGATAACTGCACTCTTTAGCTTTTGGTTACACGTGGTCTCTAAAGTATGAGAGACATGGGTTATAATTCTAGTTCTGAGTTCTTTTGGCTTTGTAAGCTCAGGCAGCTTAATGAATCTCATTGAGCCTCAGTTTTCTCATCTGTAAAATGGGAGCTAATTAAACCTACTCTTCATGGTTATAGGGTTTAAGTGAAATTATGTATATGAAATGCCTAGTGCAGAGCCTGGTACTTATTAAGCCCTCTTCGAATAGTAGTTATTAACATGGTTTTTTTTTTAATGCAATAATCCAGAAGTCAGCTGACATCCCTGTCCTTCGTGATTCCAGTGAAATGAGCCCATACCCTCCCCACCTTACAGTGAAAGGCCCCGTGCCCTTTCCACCTTTCATATCTCCCCAGGAATTTGATGTAACACGTGGTAGTAGATGATGGTGGGTCAAGTGGGTGGTATGATTTTTAGTTACTTCTGATTCTGAGCTCCTACTTTGGCTAATTCTTAACTGACCTTTCGAAATAGGTCCTCCTCACCACTGCAACTGGCTATTTTGTCACTTCACTCTATTCTAGTCCTTCAGAGCACTTATCGCTAATTTTTTTGAGCTCAGCTTTTTATTGAACATGTTCAAAAGAAGTTTAATCAAAAAGACCAAAGACCATATCATCATCGGACCCCTCAGATTCTTCTTTCTTTGTTTCTACTCTCTTCTCCTCCACTGGGGGGTCACAGTGCTAGAAGAAGCAAGACCTCCTGCTGGACAGGGCCACCAGCCCCTAGGTTGTAGGTGAGATTCCCAATACTGAGGTTGGCCAGGAACATTGCAAACAAGCCTGGCCAGAAGTGTTCAGCATTTACACTGGGTGCTGTAATGAGGGCGTCGGTCTTATTATCTTCTGTGACTTTCACTTCGTTGTATGGGATGAGGATGGGAGATGCAGGCAAATTTACAGATTAAGGCCCTAGTGCAAATGAGTGCTGGGCTAGTGGCTGCCAGACCTGGTGCTAGTTGCCGGATGAAGATTAGGCCTTACCCCAATGTAGCCATAACTCCTTGGAAGAATCCAGCTCCTTAATGCCAGCTGTGGAAAGGGGACCTTCACTAATTTTAATACAATATTAATCTATTGTTTATTGGCTGCCTCCCCCACTACTGTCAGCTTCCAGCCTGCCTATTCTGTATCTTGTTGTCCGTGTATTATCTACTTGTATGCAGGCCACACATAATAATAATAATAATAATAGCAAACATTTATGGCCGTACAGTAGGTGCTCTATATATAATTATTTCTGTATTGGAGGAATTTGATCAGTTTATGAGTCATTTTGCCATCCCGGGCTTATGGATTCGGTACTTTGCCCAGGTACGGAAGT